TCAATAGATTACTGCATAGTATTTTTTGTTTAACTTGTTCTGGATGGTGCACACTTTTTCTTGCAAATGTTATCGGATCACTTTGACAATGATGGAAGAAGAAATTTTGTATTTCAGAAGTCCTGCAGGAAAAAAGTCCTGCAAATACTTAGTATCTTCTATATTCCAGGCATTGTACTGAATATTTTCATGATGTAATTGAAATGAACTCAACTTATATCACAAATGAGAAGTATACATGTTTTCTATTGCTGTGTAACAAATTAAGCAAACTACTATGAATTCAGCAACTTAGAGAACACCACCCACTTATTAGTGCACTATTCTATAGGTCAAAAGTCTGGGCACAGTGTGACCAGATTCTCTGTTCAGGGTCTCACATAGCTAAAATCAAGGTATCTCATGGACCTCAGAGTCCTTTTCCAAGCAAAATCTACTTCCTATGGTTATAGAGATGAGGCCTGAGTTTCTTTACTGGCTGTTAGCAAGGGGCAGTTCTCAGCTCACAAAGGCTTTCTGCATTCTTTGCCACAAGACCCCCTCCATCTTAAAGCCAGCAATGGAGAATCTCCTATGTATTGAATACTCCTCACACATCAAATCTCTCCAGGAAATCTCTCCAGCAAGGTCCCAGTCCCTTTCAAAGGCTCAGCTCATTAGGTTAGGCCAGCATAGGATAGTCTCTCTATCTTAAGGTCAACTCATTTGATAATTTAATTGCATCTACGAAGTTCCTTCATGGTAGCACCTAAATTAGTGTTTGATGGAATAACTGGGAGAAGAAGTGTGTATGCTGGGGTGGGGAATCTTGGGAACTATCTTAGAATTTTGCCTATCACAGTCCACAAGTCTGCAATCAAAGTGTTGGTGAGGCTGTGTTCTCAAATGGAGACTTCACTGGGGGAGAATCTGCTTCCAAGCTCATTCAGGTAATTTTCTTGTGTCATGTGACTGAGGACCTTGGCTTTCTCTTGGCTGTTGGCTAGAAGCCACTTTCCAGTCCTACAGGTTGCCTGCTGCTCACTCTCTCCCATGTAACACACTCCATAGACAGTTCACAACATAGTTGTTTGCTCCATTTTTTTTAAGAGATGGCATCTCAATAGATTTTCTAAGCTGGTTTCCAACTTTTGGGCTCAGGCGATTCCCTTGCCTTGGCCTCCTGAGTAACTGGGATTATGGGACTATAGGCACATGCTACTGTGCCTGGTTAGTTGTTTGCTTCTTGAAGGCCAGCAAGAAAGCCTCTTTCTCCAGTCTACTAAGACTGGATCTTACATGATGTAACCTGATCACAACAGTGGCATCCTCTCACTTTTGTGGTACTCTGTTGGCTTGGAGCAAATTATAATATTCCAAATTCAAGGGACAGATATCATACCAGAGTGTGACTCACCAAGGGTCAACTTCTGATGTGTCTGCTACAAAAAGTCTGTGCTTAGAACAACTGGGGAAGAAGTTTATATAAAAGTGATTTTCAGGAGCTTTTTTTTTTTTTTAGAGTTCAGTGAAGAGGACATTTGCCTGGGAGGCAGTGTTAGGTATACTGAGTGTGCAATAGCTGCCACCAAGATGTCAACCCAAATGGTTGAAAGGGTATCCCGTCTTCAAATGCCAGATCTGATATCATACTGCTTGAGGTTGAATTCCAACTCTGTTATGGATTATTGACAATGCAGCATTACTTCTCTGTGCCTCAGTTTCCTCTTCTGTAAAATGAAGATAATAGTACCCCACTGAAGGGTCAACATGAGGATTAAGGAGACATCATTTAAAATGGAACCTGATATACAGTAAGCTCTCACAAAGCATTAGACGTTATTTTTATCATTTCTTATTTCCCTGTTGATGATCTGCATTGCATCTGTCATTCATGAATTTATCTAAGTCTCTCTCTCTCTCTCTCTCTCTCTCTATATATATATTTTTTTTTTTGAGATGGAGTCTCGCTCTGTCCCAGGCTGGAGTGCAGTGGCGCGATCTCGGCTCAGTGCAACCTCCGCCTCCCGGGCTCACGCCATTCTCCTGCCTCAGCCTCCCAAGCAGCTGGGGCTACAGGCACCCACCACCATGCCCGGCTAATTTTTTGTATTTTTAGTAGAGACGGGGTTTCACCGTGTTCGCCAGGATGGTCTCGATCTCCTGACCTCGTGATCCGCCCGCCTCAGCCTCCCAAAGTGCTGGGATTACAGGCGTGAGCCACCGCGCTCGGCCTCTAAGTCTATTCTTAAACTTGTGTATTTATGTATTTTTCTTTTTTATATATAGCAGTTTTATTAAGAAATAATTGATATGTTAAAAATCTTGCACATGATTAATGTACTCTGTTTGATGAGTTTGGACATATGCATATACTCTTGATACCATCACCACAATAAAAGTAAAAAGAAAACATACCAATGACCTCCAAAAGTTTCTTTGCATCTGTGTGTGTGTGTGTGGTAAAACATTTAACATAGGATCGACCCTCTTAACAAATTTTTAAGTGCACATCACCATGTCATTAACATCAGGCACTTTGTCGTACAGAAGATCTCTAGAACGTATTCATCTTCCAAAGCTGAAACTTCATACCCACTGAGCAACAACTCTCCATTTCCATCTCCCCACAGTCCCTGGCAGCCACCATTCTATTTTCTGCTGCTATGAGTTTGATTATTTTAGACACCTCATCTAAGTGGAATCATGCAGTATTTGGCCTTCTGTGACTGGCTTATTTCACCCAGCACAGTGTCCTCTGGGCTCATCCATGTTGTGTCTTTCTTGATGTGAGGATTTTAGTGTAATCTTCTCCAACCTCTTCAACTTTAGGAGCTCTTCCTTACTTCTTTTCATGGATTTGGTGAGGTAGTCAGTATTTATTCCATGTTCACATGTTATGATATTGATTGTACTTTCTCAAACATTTTTAAATTCCAGACTATCAATAAGTCTCCTGAAGGAAGTGTAATTTAATATAAATTTCCTTTAATGTATTTTAATTATATGTATCTTATTCTTTAACCAAAGCAGAGTTAAGGTGTAATGAAATCTTGTGAATATTGGTTACTATGTATTCTATATAATATTGTATAATATATATGATTATATGTTATGTAATAGTAATATAATATATACATATATGTATGTACATGTATGTGCATATATTACATTATACATATATATACACATTATATATATGTGTACATATTATGTGTATATATTATATTAATGTAATGAATACATACATAGATGTATATATGTACGTGTGTGTATGGATATTTATATGTAGTTTGTAGTGGTGAGAGAAGAGCAACATCTTGGGAACTTACACAACCTGTAGGTTGGAAGGAAGCTGACTTAAATTTACTGAATTGAGTAGCGCCAATTTTGTGCTCAGTTCTATACCAAGCTTTATACAGAAACAAAAAGGAGATAAGCTTCATTTCCTATGCTGAGGCTCACAGTGTTGCTAGGGAAACAAGGCTCATACATATTAACAGACATAATCTAAGATGGCATAGAATTACATCAAAATTAGTTAAATGACTATAAGTATATAAGTGACATGGGAACTCCAAGGAGGGAGGACAGGCTGGGGAAAACTTGCTAGAGAGCCTTCAGATAAGTTTGGATTAGGTAGGATTCAGAGATGTAGGAAATAATGAAAGAGGCTTGGTGTGGTGCTCATGCCTATAATCCCAGCACTTTGGGAGTTTGAGGCAGGAGGATAACTTGAGTCCAGGAGTTTAAGACCAGCCTGGGAAACATGGCAAAACTCTATCTTTACAAAAAATACAAAAATTAACCAGGCATGATAGTGCACACCTGTAGTCCCAGCTACTGGGCAGGCTGAGGTGGGAGGATCACTTGAGCCCAGGAGGCGGAGGTTTCAGTGAGCCAAGATCACACAACCGCACTCCAACGTGGGTGACAGACTGTCTAAAAAAAAAAAAAAAAAAAAAAAAAAAGGAAAAGAGAGAGGAGAAAGAAACATTCAAAGATGGGAAATATTTTTAACACATATTTGCTTTTAGGACTATCCCAGCCTTTCACAAGACAGTGAGGAGGGTAAATTAATGATTTGTGTTAGGGAGAGAGTTGTAAGGCATTTACTTGACTTAATCATTATGAGGTTACCACTGCTTTCATTTTGTCCAGTAGATTTTAGGATAATGGAGATTAAAATATCCACGTGAAACAAGGAAAACAAAATTCCAACATCTGAAGTATGATCAAAGTCATAGTGCAAGGTGTTAACATAGGATCCAGTTTTCTAGTTTGTTTGTTTTAAACAAAAAATAAATCCTACCAAGAATTTTAAAAATGATTTTATCTTAAAAAATTGCAGCTAGCCTTATATGTAATTGCGAATGAGTATTAGAGACAACAAAAGAGGATATTAATTTCCCATCTAATTACCAGATATCAAAAGGTATAAAATGCTTCATCTTATCTTACAATTATGTATGCTGAAAAAGTACTTTTTGGTCTACACTTTCTTTTGAATCCCACAGTAAGTCTACAAGTAGAAAGCATGGTTTCTACATAGCTACGTTCTATTGTAATAACATATCGGCAAAATTATATTTCACTATATGTAATGGGACAATGTATCTTAACTGGCTATTTACAAATTGCATTACATCATATAAGGCAATATTATCAGTTGAGAATGGTAGTAATTGAATGTCATAATTCAATCATTTATGACCTTATCATTTCTCAGACTCTCTTACGAACCAATTTTCTACAATGAACTATTGGACTGAATTGAAAGACAGAGATTCTCATAAGCTGAAATCTACTTCTCTCAGCTATAAATTCTTTGGCTAGTAAATACAAGCTCATCGTATGTGCATACAGTAAGGCACTACTGTTCTATTAAGCTATTTTAGTACATCTTGAATGTGCTTTCTTTCTAACTGAAAAAAGAATTGTGCTCATAAATTCTCCCTGAACTCCTCAAAGCCACAGTGAACACTGCCTACAGAGAATCTATTCTGTAGATACCCTGGGATCAATATTGATTGTGACATTAAATAAATGGGTTTGATCTTCTCTTTTAAACACTCAAGGCTACAAGCAATGTAATCTCAAAGTAACAGAGGAAAAATAGGCACAGGGATAGGAAATCTAGGCTTATATCTCATTGCACCAGAAAAATAGCCCAATTGTCATTTGAAACCTCTATCTATTCTCATGTCAGCTCTCATATTCACTTTAAATATGGCTAGATGTCTTAAACCTGAGGTCTTCCTGATTTTTTTTGTGAAGGTTGTACCTTACTCAAGGGCACATTAGTAGTGGCAGGTAGGTTTAAATTCAGCTCACACTTGTCTTGCCAATCTCTATGCCTGCTTGGGCCTGTATCTGTTTGAATAAAGGAGTATCTTTTTTTCTCATTCACATAAAGGCTGTATATGGATTGGTTCTGTCCCTACTAAAGAACACCCTGCTGGCTCCCAAAGCAAATGCATTAGCTCTGCCTGGAGGATCTTGAACAACTGTGATACATGTCTTCACTATGATACTCTAGCTAAAACTCTCTTTCTCTGTGTGAAGAAGAAATTTCTCAATTCATGTTGAAGGCAATTCTCAACTTCCTTTAACAGGGAAGAAAAGAGAAAGCATCCCAACTTCATAAAAAGGCTATTGTTTATGTTAATTCTCTCTTTCTCTCATAAAACTAAAAGTAAGTTTAGCTCCAAGACAAAAGATGATGTCATTAGTCCCTTACGTGAATTCTCATCACCTGCTAAATGGTTCTACTGACTCCCAGACACACTTTGTTAACTCCATAGTTGACAGTTTTATTCGGTCTCAGGAAATTCTCATTTACTTTCTCTATGTTTCAAAATCTGCCTACTCCGACCACCACCATTTTTCAAAGCTCAGGGCAAATTCTACCTCATCCAAGAACCATTTCATTTTTGCTTCTTCAATTCTATAATGTTCCTTCGCCCTCTCTGCTCATCTCCATAACACACACCCAAGCTGTAGCAAAAGACCATACATCATACATCTCAGAGCACAACATCGTGTATGTAGGGGTAGCAGCAGCAGCCTCAGTAGGAAGAGAGATTGGGAGAAGAGGCAAAGCTGGCAGTAGCAGCAGCTTCAGGGCAATGCCATGGCAATGAGGAGATGAGGCAATTGTCATAAGGAACAGCATTGCTTCAGTCCATAGGTTCGCAGCAGAGACTGCTGCAGTGTCCATGAACAAACATGGGGAGTTCCTAAATCCCTGTGATATGCCTGGTAGGAGAAAATAACTCAAGGTGGCTAGGAGGATAGCTTTCATCTGGTGGGTACTCATTGGGAAACTCTGTGGAGCATCTACAGTCCTGCTGCTCTGTTTCTCATAACCCCTAGCCTCAGGCTGATGAACGAGGAGTCATGGTATAGATCATCACCAACATGCCCATATTGCCTTTGTGCAGTTCTCTTACCCCCTCAAGCTCTTTCCTGCTTTATTTTGCTGTGCGTTTATTTTCTTCTCCCATTTCCATTCCTTTTTCTGGCACAATATTATTCCTTTTCCCTAATAACAGGTTTAGTCCTTGAATGTGAGGATGATGTGGGTAAAACTTACTGGAGCCAAAAAAGCCCAAGCCCACCAAATTATTCTATCCACCTTTAGGGGCATATGCCCTGAGGTTTTCTCTGTGTCTTTGCTCATATTAGTTCCTCTGCTTTAATTTTGTTTTCTTCCAATGTTACTTGCATGACTGCTGGCAGCATATTTAAATCAAATGCTAACTGTTTCTTAAAGTACTTCCTGAAATAAGATTTTTTATTTCCTTTTAACATGCACAGACTTAGAAGCGACTTGAGGCAGGATGGGAGCATAAAAGACAACCAGGATGCCAAAGTCTCCAAGCAGTGAGGAGGAGTCTAAGAACTTGGAAAGATTCATGGACCTCCTCCAGTATGTGAAAGCCACCACTGTGGAGCAAGTGGGAAAGCAGGTCAGGATCCAAGAATTGTGATCACAATTTTGGATATAATTAGGGCATTGAGGCCAGTCAGGAAGAACCCAAGGATGATCTGGGCATAAACATGGAGCAAAGCATGCTGGAGAATTTGGAATGTTGAAGTTCACATCTAGCTCTAGATGAAACTTTCCTGCTAAAGGAGTTAGTGCCTGTGAGAGAGTCCTAGACTTTGTAGTCCTCAGTTTGTACTTCTCTCATAATACTTACGTTGGGCTTTGAAAGCACTAATTTCTCTTACTAGTCTGTAAACTTCTGGAGGGCAAAGACTGTGATTCACCCTTGTTCACATCACCTGCATTGCCTAGTGCAGTGCATTTACACTTTGAAATTATGGACTTGCACAGTGATAAAGTTTGGATATGTTTCCCCCCCAGATCTTACAGAAGTGGGGCCTGGTGGGAGATGATTGGATCATGTGGATGGAATTTTCATGTATGATTTAGTACCATCCCCTTGCTACTTTCCTCTCAATAGTGAGAGAGTTCTTGCAAGATCTGATCATTTAAAAGTGTGTGGCACCTCCCTTAACCCGGCTCCTGCCCTGGCCATGTGATGTGCCTGCTCCCTCTTCTGTCATGATTGTAAGTTTCCTGAGGTCTCCCCAGAAGCTGAGCAGATGCCAGCATCATGCTTCCTACACATTCTGCACAACCATGAGCCAATTAAACCTATTTTCTTTATAAATTACCCAGTCTCAGTTATTTCTTTATAGCAATGTGAGAACAGATTTAATACACAGAGCATCCAGAGAGAAATATCCAGCAATCAGTTGGAGTTGAAAAGCCCAAGAAGGAGAGGGAGTAGAAGGATGACATATATATTTGGATGAAATTCACATATAGGAGGAATCCAAAAAAGTGTCTGTAGAGATAAAAAGGTAATAAGTTGAGGGTTGAATATAGGGGTATATAAATTTATTTGTTCAACCAACATTTATTAATAATTACAATGTTCCAAGCACTGAGCTAGGCACAATTATACAAATATACTTGAAGAGTAAGCAATAGCTCGTACCATTAAGGATCTTCAGTCTTCCAATTGTGGTGACAGTATAGAAAGAATACTGAAGACCAGGCACAGTGGCTCATGGCTGTAATCCCAGCACTTTGGAAGAACGAGGCAGGCGGATCACAAGGTCAGGAGTTTGAGACCAGCCTGGCCAATATGGTGAAACCCCGTTTCTACTAAAAAATAAAAAAATAAAAATTAGCTGGACGTGGTGGCAGACACCTGTAGTCACAGCTACTCTGGAGACTGAGGCAGGCAAATCGCTTGAACACTGGAGGTGGAGGTTGCAGTGAGCCGAAATCACACCACTGCACTCCAGCCTGGGCAACAGAGTGAGACTCTGTCTCAAAAAAAAAAAAAAAAAGAGAAAAAAAGAATATTCAAGAAAGTTGGTGTGACTAGCAATGATATACAATACTTAAAAAAATGAAGATGAAAGAAAGACAACCTTATTTGCCTGTCATAAGATCACTGTTCGTCTTTAAACATTCTGTTTCAGAGCTTCAGTGAGGCAAATCTGCATAATGTTTGTCATCCTGGGTATGTGATGACATAGGAAATATATGTACATTTTAGGAAGTCTTGCGTTGTTATTAGATGAAACACCTACTAGGAAAACTTACAACTCTATGTTTCTTTTTCTTCCAGGGGAACTATATTTTTAGCCCATTGTAATGATCTGAATAACGTTAATGGTTTCTTTGACATTCATTTATAAAGATGAGATTTTAATGGCCAGTAAAGCAGTGATCCTTAACCTTTTTGGCACCAGATACGGGATTCATGGAAGACAGTTTTTCCATGGATGGGGTTGGGGGGATGGTTTTGGGATGAAACTGTTCCACTTCAGATCATCAAGCATTAGTTAGATTCCCATAAGGAGTGCACAACCTAGGTCCCTCGCAGTTCACAATAGAGCTGGCACCCCTCTGAGTATCTAATGCCGTTGCTGATCTGACAGGAGGCAGAGCTCAGATGGTAATGCCCTTTCACCTGCTGCTCACCTCCTGCTGTGTGGCCCAGTTACTAACAGACTACCAACAGCTAGTGGTCCGCGGCCTGGGGTTTGGGAAACCCTGCAATATGTCCAAATCCCAAAACTCCAGAATTCTCTGTGAATAAATGGTTTTGAGAAAGTGGTGGTAAAACAGTGTGAGGAGGTTATCTACAGGGTCTTATTTTATTCTCTCTTTGTCAAAAAGTACTTTTCGGGCTGGGAGTGGTGGCTCATGCCTATAATCCCAGCACTTTGGGAGGCCAAGGTGGGCGGATCACCAGGTCAGGAGATTGAGATCATCCTGACCAACATGGCGAAAACCCATCTCTACTAAAAATACAAAAATTAGCTGGGTGTGGTGGCGTGTGCCTGTAATCCCAGCTACTCGGGAGGCTGAGGCAGGAGAATCACTTGAACCCGGGAGACAGAGACTGTAGTGAGCCAAGATCGCACCACTGCACTCCAGTCTGGCAACAGAGCGAGATTCCATCTCAAAAACAAACAAACAAACAAACAAAAAACTACTTTTCATCTACAACGTAGTTTTAGACATCTAGAAGAGATTATTCAGGAAGATCCTTTCAAGGCAGTCGCCATTCTTAAAGATTTGAATTAAACACTGCTGATCCGTTTGGCCTGAAGTTTTGTTTCAGTGTTACTTGTGGCCATGCTAGCAGCTTACAGTGTCACATTACTTGAAATGAAAAGGAAGTTCTCCATTTCGGTTAAAACAAATTCCATAACCTCTCACCAGGAAGTAAAAGGTTGCCTTTCCTTTAAATTACTAAGTATTTAGAAAGGTGTGGAACCCACATATAAAAAGGATTACAACATACTGAAAAAAAAATACAATGAGCCAGTTACAGGGACTTACCACTGGCTATGTGTTGCCAAAAGATTTTGTATCACTGTTTATGTGAAAGTGCATCGCATACAGATGGGTACACAACACGTGTCCTGCAAATGTTAGTTCAAGTCTAAACTGTTTAATTCTTTATTGTGTAAGTGGAAAAACATTCTGTTGAAAGGTATAACTAATCAGAGGTCATTTTATTAATAAATCAATTGTAGACACAAGGGAGAGGATTACCTCTGAAATCTTAATGGAACTCAGAGGAACTTGAATCAATGTCTTCTAGTTAGACCAGAGGGGGAAATTGAGTTACTTATTTTTCCAAGGCTTCTCAATGTGGATTCTGGTCTGAGTACACCGAAAAATTAATAATGAAAGATTTTTTAAATGTCCTTATTATTGGTACTTATTATCTTCCTAAAATGGCTATCTTTAGCATTAAACAAATGAATTAAAAACATTATATGTAATGCAATTAAAATGCTGATGCTCTTTCCCAAACTTTTTTTGGTAACTGTTTAATATATGATTTGGCAAATGTTCAGAAATTATTAGAAACATGTCTTAATGGAAATCCCATTAATTTGATTTAATAAAATTTGAGCAGTGAACACCTAGCATGAACTTTTAACCACTAATAAATAGGATGCCACGTGATTTTACTTTTCTAGGTGCTGGGGATATAGCTGTTAGGAACTATAGACAGTCTGGGATTTTACTCTACTTTCAAGCTAATAGGCTAGCCTGTTACTCTATCATGGACCTGGGAAAAGTTACAAGACTCTTGAATCGGAGGTAAAGGACTCTATTACTTATGATGCAACAGGCAGCCTGATCTTCACATTTTCTTCTATCTATTTTCCACAACCCCCAAATTGCATGGGGATGACACAGGGGGGCCTGTACAGATGCCTCCACATTCATTAGAGAGGGGAACACTGTGCTTAGAGAACTTTCAGAGTGCAGGGTAACAAGTCCATTCTCTGTCTAGGAGAAGATACTACCTTATCCCTCCAAGGTTGTCACTTGCTACAAACATAATCCTGAAGAAAGGCCCGAGTGAAGACCAGTGAGAGCCTTGCATTCTTGGTATATCCAGCAAGACTGGACAGGGACTCTTAGGGCCTGTTAGCAGGTTGCCTTTCCCAACAAAAGTCATAGGTTCTTGCCCTTAAAGAGCTTACATTTTGAAATTAGAAGGATTCTTGCTGATTAAGGGATTTCATCCTGGGATGTTTTACTCCTCCTCAACTACGTCAACATGACCTTGAAGCTTGCATTGGCCTCTTCCCCAATTTTAGTTTTATACTCACTGTTTCTCCATCTTCCATTGTTATGTACATCTTCCTTATTAAGGCTCATGCATTGGTCAGATTTTGCCTACTCCCAGGAGCTATATTGCTGTCCCAAAGGCTGGACTGACTTTCTCAAGACATTCCCAGGCAATTTCCTTAAATCCTGACCATCCATTCTGGATAATCAGTTACTCTTACCCAAAGCAATTGCATAAAGCAACTGCCCCACGTAGACCTGAAGACTCAGGCAAGTCACAATTTTGCCCAGGCCGTGATATAACCTGGGTCACCCTGAGCTAGACATCAAGACTCTCTGGGCATCTGTGTCTGCTATGTACAGCTAGATGTTACGTGTGTGTGGCAGAAGAGGACTGTCTGTCTTCTTCATCTATGGTTTTAAAACAAAATTTGGAGTTTAATTGAAATCAGAACAGGGATACATTAAGCAAATAAAAAGTACTTTTCTGATTATCAATTTTTGGACTCAAAGCGTCTTCAAAACATTGGGGATCCAGCTTATCCCTGAGAGACATCAGCCATCACTAAAAGTTTTCACTCTTTGAACTATTCATTCACATTTTGTTGCAGAAAACAGGACAAAGTTCCAGAGATATCCTTGCTTTCTTTTTTTTTTATCCTTCCTTTCTTCTTTCTAAAATATACTCACAAGCAGGGTCTTTTCATAGTTCGAAAGAAAAACAAATAGCTTTCTTTCTTGGCTAGTTGGCCTGTTACTCTCACCCTGGAATCTGATCTCTCAATAAGAGGGCCCAGGGCACCAAATTCAAGCAGAAATTCCAAGGACATCACTTTACTTGTCATTCTATGAAGGTAAGGATGCTTTAGTCATTCTGTGAGAGAGACAATCTTCTGGGATTATTACACCAGTCAATAGTCCCAGGAGGGTGGGTCGGTGGGTGGAAAGGAGGGTGAATGCAATAGCTAAGGGGTAAGGGAAAATAATTTCTTTCTATCATCAGGTCTAGTTCTTTAAAGCATGATCGTGCAATGAAATTTTGCCATGAGTGGTGACCAATATTAGAAAGAAAAATATTTGTTTGTCTTACAGTTGCTTGACTCTGAAGATTCTGAGCTGTCCCAGCCTATGTCCATGAAGGATTGTAAAGAGCCCTCAATTCACCTGTGCTCTCCCAAGAGAGAGCTAGCACATTATGTGGTGGTGGCAACCCACCATTTTTAGCACCAACTGCTGAAAGATAGAAAAGAAAAGAATTGAGGATTCACAGAAAAGAGAAGACTTGAAGGTAACCATGTAAGGTTTATTCTATAGCCTCAAGTAAGATGGTATAATATAAAAATTTTTTTAAAATTTGCACTGTTCTCTGGATTCCAGCTGTGTTCATTCTATAAAGCAGTGTATCTAAATGTTTTTCCAGATATATTGGGCATGATAGCCAGTTTACCCAGTATGTTATAGTCCTGGTTATGATGAACATAGTTAAGAAGTAGAAGAGAGGGAGAAAGATTGGAAGAATATGGAAATGTGAGAGATTGTGGCTGTGTAGCAACAGTTAATTTATATGCATGGCTGTGTATGTGAATGAGAATGTACATGATACATGCTTTAAAGATGGTAGTGTAATACATGTACCTGTATGTATGTATGATAGAAATAACTAGCCCATTGTGTATTAGCTCCAAGCTACTAGTGTGGTTTTAAAAAGCTGAAAGAGTCATTTCCTTGCCAGCTTCATTATGTCACATATAAATATATGTTCTGTGTGGGAAACAAAAATATTGTGTAGGCAAAGGAATTTCTGTGAGAAAGATACAGTCTTTGAAAGAGACTTAAAATCTATGACTAAACGAGAGAAATAAATGACATTTCTAATACAATGCCCTTGTCAGGTTATATTAGAGAAAATTTATGTCACTGACAAGCCAAAGAAGGAGGCATTTGTATGCTACTGACAGTTGGTACAATATGTGTGTAGAAATGAACTTAAGTGTGGGAAACAAAAAAAAGAAAAAAGAAAAACCTGGAAGAGAGCTGACTAGGAAGAGAACAAATAGGAAAAAGTGAAGTACTTAGCTATATGAAACAATTTTAAAATAGTACTCTGTTAGATTCTCAAGGATGGATATGTGCTGACACAGTGTCTGGGATTTCAGACCAAGTCCTCAGGTTCACTTTGGATTAAACTTATTACCCCAGACTTGAGCCAAGAGCTCACTTACATCATGACCACTCAGCTATTAGCATCTTGGAGTACTGCAGTGTAAATGGATCATACAGAAGTCCTTCTGGTTTTAGAATAAAATGGCAAAGTTGGAGAGAGCTCCCCTGAAGATAATGCTCTAGTCAGGCCTGCAAATATTGGCTGAATAGATGGTTTGGACAGAAAGTTTCAAGCAAAGAATCTGACTAAGTACTATTATGAGTTAACTAAATTGAGGAAATCTAAAAATTTCTCATAAATTTTCAGAATGGAATTAATTTTTATGCTACCTTTCATAGATGCCCAGTTTCTTAAGAAATTACCCTTGCTTTTGGACAGTGAGCCACATCTTGGATTCATTCGAGGCCTCTGTGTTGCTCCACTTGATGAAGCTGACTCCCTGGCAATATGACTGTGACTACACAGCTTGGAATGAAGTAGGCTTTGGACCACTGGTAGGAGGAACTGCCTCCCAGAAACCAGAGACATTCAAGAGGGGTTAGATAACTATGAGTTACATTTGGCACCTACCAAAAAGTGCTGCTGAAAACGTGGGATTCGGAGGCCAAGGAATGAGGGGGTTTGAGAGTCCACACCGTCCAGTGCTGGGGATTATTTTGCTAACATGTACTATACACAAGCAGGAATTTAACAAATACTTGGCTGATGAGCTCATTAAGCATTTTGTATCCTCATGAATTGTGGAAACTAAAACTGGACTAAAAATGTCATTGTCATTTATGTATTACAACACTGAGCCAACAAGTAAGTAGTTTTTGTTGGTAAGACATCTTTTTTTTAAAATGACAAGGATAAAAAAATATTAGAAATGACTCCATCATTAAGGGCTATACCTTGGGAGATAAGACATACTGATAAAGAAATAATAATGTAAGTCATATTAGATCAGTTCCAAACACATTTGTTCCCCCACTCCTTCCGGAGACTTGAAAGGCAAAGCCTTACTCTTTTGAACTAGTTTCTCTTTTCTTTTATCCCTCTTCTATCATCTCTCTACCATCCTCAATCTTCAGTGTTGAGTTGGAAAACTTAGATCATTTGTAAGTTCTCATGATAATTTGGTTTGAGAAACACAGTGTAGGCAGCAATTGTGGGGGAGGAACAGTCCCAGGGGAGTGGTAGTTGCTGGGTCTTTTACAGAAAGAGCAGGACTCTGATAACTAGATATAGACGTGATGGGTATTTCAGGAAGGAGGAAGAACCTGAACAGATCATGTCTCAGGGATGAATGAGACCTGTTTTGCTGCAGTGAGTAGTGAACCCTGGAAAAGAAAAACTGTTGCAGAGAGATGGGGAGTGGGAAGGTGGTTAGAGGTCTCTAATAGGGACTTATTTAATCTCTAAGCAGTGAAAAGTCAATGCATGCTTCTACATAAGAATTTAATTTATACCAAACAGGTTTTAAGAAGAATTCTGGATTGATGTATAGAAGATGCGAGGAAGCAAGAGACAGACTACAAAATGATACTAACCAAAACTAGAAAGAAATGTAATAATCATCTTAGTCAATTCCCTCAATTTCTGGTGTCTGGTGTGTGTGTGTGTGTGTGCGTGTGTGTGTGTATTAGGGGTAGAGAGCAAGGAAATTTAGCAGAGAGATTGCCTAAGGTCACAAGCTAATTAACAGCAGAAATAGGCTAGACCTGACTCACAGTTTAGGACTAGATCCCCTATATCAGGAGTCCCCAACCCCCGGGCCACAGATTGGTACCGGTCTGTGGTCTGGTAGGAACTGGGCCACACAGCAGGAGGTGAGCAGTGAGTGAGTGAGTGAAGCTTCATTTGTTTTTACAGCTGCTCCCCATACCTCCCATTACCACCTGAGCTCCGCCTCCTGTCAGATCAGCCCTAGCATTAGATTCCCATAGGAGTGCAAATTCCATTGTGAATTCTACACAGGAGGGGTCTAGGATCTAGATTCCACACTCCTTATGAGAATCAAATGCCTGATGATCTGTCACTGTCTCCCATCACCCCCATATAGGACTGTCTAGTTGCAGGAAAACAAGTCCAGGACTCCAACTGATTGTGCCTTATGGTGAGTTGTATAATTATGTCATTATATATTACAATGTGATAATAATATAAATAAAGCACACAATAAATGTAATGCACTTAAATCATTCTAAACTATCCCCCACCCCCTGGGTCTGTAAAAAAATTGTCTTCAATGACACCCATCCCTGGTGCCAAAAGGTTGGAAACCACTGCCCTACATCATTGTTAAGAATCTATGGCATGGCCGGGCGCGGTGGCTCAAGCCTGTAGTCCCAGCACTTTGGGAGGCCGAGACGGGCGGACCACGAGGTCGGGAGATCAAGACCATCCTGGCTAACATGGTGAAACCCCGTCTCTACTAAAAAATACAAAAAACTAGCCGGGCGACGTGGCGGGTGCCTGTAGTCCCAGCTACTCAGGAGGCTGAGGCAGGAGAATGGCGTAAACCCGGGAGGCAGAGCTTGCAGTGAGCTGAGATCCGGCCACTGCACTCCAGCCTGGGCGGCAGAGCGAGACTCCGTCTCAAAAAAAAAAAAAAAAAAGAATCTATGGCAACATCCAGAAGCTAACAAAGGAAGGCCAGAAGTGGGGCCTGCCATTTTATCCCAATTAGAAAGCCATTTGAGAGGAAGTAGAACATAAGAATCAATCAGCCAGGCATGTTGGCTCATGCCTGTGATCCCAGCACTTTGGGAGGCTGAAGTGTGTAGGTGGCTTGAGCTCAGGAGTTCAAGACCAGCCTGGGCAATATGGAGAAACCCTGTCTCTACAAAAAATCCAAAAAATTTAGCCAGGTGTGGTGGCCTGTGCCTGTAGTCCCAGCTACTTGGGAGGCTGAGGTGGGAAGATTGCTTGAATCCAGGAGGTCAAGGCTGCAGTGAGCCAAGATAGTTCCAGCCTGGGTGACAGAGCAAGACCCTGTCTCAAAAAAAAAAAAAAAAAAAAGAATCAACGAAGATCTGATTGGTGATTGAATTGTGTATTCGTTTCCTATTGCTGCTCTACCAAATGACCACAGACTAGATGGGTTAGAGCAGCACAAGTTTATTATCTTACCATCCTGAAAGGTCAGAGGCCTGAAATTGGTTCCACTGGGCTAAAATTCAAGATTTCAATAGGGCTGCCTTCCTGCCGGGTAATGTAGGAGATCTATTTTCTTGCCTTTTCCAGGTTCTGGAGGTTGCCTGCATTCCTTGGCTCCTGAATCTCTGTCATCTTCAAAGCCAGAAATTTCCTGTTGAGTCTTTCTGAGGCTGCATCACTCTGACCCTGACTCTTCCATCTCCATCTTCATACTTAAAGGATGCTGGTGATTACATTGGGCCCTCCCGTACAATCTAGGATACATTTTTAACCTTAAGGTCAGTTTATTAGCAACCATAATACCCCCTTGGATATAATGTAGCATATTCATAGGTTTCAGAAATTAGGACATGGACATCTTTGGGGGAAAGGGAGGAAGCCATTATTCTGCTTACCATAGACAGAGTATACGGAGGTAAAATAAATAAAAGATAACACCAAGCTTTTATAATTGAGAAACTGTAAAGACAAGGGTACACATGACAGAAATAAAGAAGCTGAAGAGGGGAAACTGATAGGGGGGCAAATCATCTGAGAAATGTCGTGCTTTAATTTGTGGTGTTCTATTCAGATGAAATATCCCAACAGGCATTATGAAAGCTGAGGGTTAGAAATGTTGCTAGTTAGTGCTAACTCCTACTGTAGTAAGACCTTTTTCATGTTCTTATTTTTTTCTATCAGTATGTTTCCTTATATTCAACACTTTTTGGCAGTAAAACTTAAAGACAGAATATATATAAATGTCTGCTATGCATGACAGATTTCATATTATGATTAACATGCCTTACTATTCCAGAATTTAGTTATCTTGCCTTTAAAATGATTTTCTCATGGACACATAGTGTTATATTATGTATAAGAAGCTTTAAAAAGGTTCTATGTGTTTCTTATAGTGCCAGTGTTTTAATGGTATTCTATACAACTTCAGATGAAAACTCTTCTATTTAATAGATGCAGTATTCAAAGTTGAAAGACAGTTATCTTTATAAACTAAAATAATAGCAGTTGGCTGTGATTAAAAACATTTTCAGATAGTTGCACATATCACTAACAGGTACCACTGCAAATTATTCCAAATAGCATTCCAGAGCCAGTGCCAACTTTCTATCATTTTGAGAAATTTATTTCCCTAAGTATACTGCTTCTAAAGTTTATTCTGATTCTGTGATTGGTCAATGCTGATAGGGTACAAGAAAAAACAAGATAGCAAGACTTATATGGTATAGCAATTAAAACAGCACTTTATTAACATAAGGCAAGACAAATAGACTAAGGGGAAAGAATAAATAATTCAGAAACACAAAAATCTATACAGGAAACTTGATATACAACACTTATAAATCAGTAGGGCAAGGGCTGTGGGACAAGTAGCCATTTGAGGAAAAGGGTAAAAGTATTTATCTATTTTATACAATACAAAAAATAAATTTCAAGTGGATTAACATCCATATATGACAACCAAAACCTTACAATGTTTAGAAAAAATATAGCAGAATATGTTCATATCACTAAAATTCCTGGCCATTAGGACATAAATGGTTAAATTTAATGATACAAAAATTTAAAATTTGCATCTGACAACAATGCTATTTAAAATTTTTAAATACAAGCCAAAATTGGGAAAGATTTTTGAAATATGTATAACTAACAGAGGATTATTATCCAGACTATATAAACAGTCCTTGCAAAGGAAAAGAAAAACATTCACAGAAGCAACACCTAAATAGCAACAAACACATGAAAAAAAAGTTTGATCTCACCATAATTCAAGAAAATAAAATTAAAATGCAATGAGATATTATTTCATTACCATCAAATTGACAAAAAATTTGAAATGATAATTTTAAATGATGATCAGGGGTTGGAGGTAATAGTATTTCAACCACTGCCAGCAAGGATGCAATTTGGTATAAGATTTGAAAATAAGCTTATACTGTACTTTATTTAAACTGATCATAACCTATAACCTAGAAACTTCCAACTTCAGGTATATACCCCTAGATAAATATATGTAGACATGCCCACAGAAACATATTCAAGAAATGTTTTTTTCCCAGTATTTTTTGTAGTGATGAAAATTTGGAAACAACTTATATTTTCACCACTAGAACAATAGATATTAATTGTGTTATTTTAGCACAATGGAATACTATACAGAATTTAAGTACATAAACTAGATCTACATATGTTTATGTGGACAGATTTAAACTTTTAAAACACCACACAATGTGTAAAAAGCAAGCTGTGAAGTCTATTTTTTCATTAGGCCATTTATGTAAAATGTAAAAAACATTCCAAATAGACTCATGTTTTATTTATAGACATACATATAAGTAGTAAAAGGACAAAAATATAGACTGGGTGCAGTGATGCATGCCTGTAGTCTTAGCTACTCAGGAGGCTGAAGTGGGAGGATTCCTGGAGTCCAGGAGTTCAAGACCAGCCTGGTTTATACAGCAAGACTCCATCTGAAAAATAATAACACACATGAAAAGGACAAAAATATAGATGGAAATGATGTGCACCAACTTTATGATAGTTGCTCTTTCTAGGCAAAATGGGCAAAGTGAAGATGGGGATTTCAACTTATTTTGTAACTTTTTGTTTCTTAAAAAAATCTGGTGCAAAATTGGCAAACATATATATTAAAGTATATATATTATATAAATATATATTTTTAGACAGAGTCTCACTCTGTCCTGCAGGCTGGAGTGAAGTGGTATGATCTCAGCTCACTGTAACCTCCGCCTCTGGGGTTCAAGTTATTCTCCTGCCTCAGGCTCCCAAATAGCTGGGACTACAGGCACGTGCCAACACACTTGACTGATTTTTGTATCTTTAGTACAGATGGGGTTTCGCCATGTTGGCCAGGCTGGTCTCAAACTCCTGACTTCAAGAGATCCTCCTACCTTGGCCTCCCAAAGTGTTGGGATTACAGGCATGAGCCACTGTGCCCGGCCTGGCAAACATAGTTTTAAATGTTGGAGATATTTTAATGAGTGTCTACTACATATTGCCTATGTAATTATTTAGGGTTTTAAAAATTATTCATTTTATTTATTTCCTAACAGTTCTACTGAAATATAACATATTTCAGTTATATTTGTATTGTAAAATTTGTATTGTAAAATTGTATTGTAAAATTCAATACAATTTGTATTGTAAAATTCAAAGGTTTTCAGGA